AAAGGATCTGAGGAGCGGATCCTCTGAATTTTCCGGTGGGAAACGGTGCGTTCCTTGGCCGTTTCCAACCGGTTCCTGCGGGTTGTTCGTTTTTTCCCGTGGATTTCCGTCAGCCGGAGATTCTCGGAACGCTGCGTTTCCGGGTACGAGAAATTTCCGGCCGGAATACTGCTTCCATGTTCCGGGTGTTTTTCCGGTCATTTCCGGTGGGAAAGATGCCGGAAACGGCGGGAAAAGGCCGGAAAATACACCGTTTCCGGCCGGTTCCTGAAGGTTCCGGAGGCCGGAATCATTGACCTGGGTTTTTCAAAATATTATTGATCGACCATCTTCAAGTAAGACATTTGTCTATTGACTTTTTGTGATTAGATGATCTATTTGAGTTTTCACTATTATGTTCTATCTAGTAGAGATCGAGAGACAAGAGATAATGGAGGTGTAGTTCGTTCCACTTATATCGACAAAAATACGATATGACTCATTTCTCCATATCCAGTGTAACAAAAACTACAAATATGAACAAATTTAATCTTATTGAAATACATGACATCACTTATATTCAGAAGTCATAGATAAATTACTATATCGCTTACAAGGTAATTAAATCTTTTTTCTAAATGTCTGTCTTTTTCTCTATACTAGCTCTAAAAAATAATATTTATTTAAAAAAAAAATTGTTCTGTACGATGAGAGATTTTTTGTTTTCAGTAAATTTTCTTCAGGAATGATATAGAAAACAAATTGAACTTTACTTTTATCCTCGTCTTTTACTTTTTTCATATGATTTCTTACCATCTTTTTCTTTAACAATCAGACACATTTATAATGAAGTCATACATTTATTCTATTTCTCTTTGTAAATGTAGAATATTTTTGTCAAGAAAACTCTTTATAAAACTTTATGCCTTTATAATTATTAATTGAAGGTTTTCGTTTTTGAATAGATATTTCTGGTCAGGTATTGGAATATACATAGAAAACAATAAGCATGACGATCTTAGAGTAACAGTATACATATACAAGGGTACATTGACAATCCTATTTAGATAAGAATATTTGATATACATCAATAGGATAAGTGTATACCGTGTAGGTTTAATATGGTAGATATAAAGTTATCTTACTAAGGATATTAGTGTAAGACACTAAAGTTAAGGACATGAGTATGAGAGTTATAACGGAAGAATATGAGTATATATATGCCTAAATCCTTGTGCATATATCTCTAGTCTTGCATATCTATATAGGGAAACATAGGATAAATAGAGAGAAGTAGACCTTCAAATGATTTACATCCATACCCTCAACATAAGATTAGTGGTCAAAAACTAAAATTAATCTTCTCAATTGGTTTGTAAGTTTAAGTGTGGATTACGAAAAACTTCAAGTTTGAGAGCGATGAATTATCAGTTTTTGATTTCAATGGTTTTTCTATAAAAATTCAAACTTATAAGGATATTAAAAATTAGGTTAATAAATCTTAAAACATTTAGAGTAACAACAATCAAACCGTATGAAAATTTGATAGTTAATAAGAAAGATTTATTATTAGGAAAAATGCATCAAATATCAATCTGACACGACAAAATTGTAATAAAGAAAAGATTGTTAACTCATCGATAGCAGAAGATTTAAACAATTGACAGATGCACTTTCTCAAACATTAGTCTTCATGATGAAATTGATTTCTTTAATGATATTATTGACTATCACAGAAAAAAATAAAGTTTTAAAAGCTATTGTTTGATAAACGAGATAGATAACACAAAGCGAAGTATTTTCAAATTACGTTTGCTGAAACCAACTTGTTTGTAGTGTAAATTCATAGTTATAGATAAATGAAAAAACAAATGACTTAGAATAATTTTCAAGACTTGAACTTCTGTCCAAATCTAAGATTGTAATTGAACAACTGTCTATGTTATTCGTTTGTAATTTAAATTAAATAGCTAATAAATATTATTAAAATACTGTCTCTGATTTGTTAATTTTTATTTTCAGTTGAATATTTATTATATGAAAAAGAATTACAATGTATAGAATCATTATCTTTAATACAAGCAAAACAACTTATTGATATAATTCATTATCTATATGATAGTCGTATTATTCATCGTGATGTAACTCCACAAAATTTAATGTTAGATCGTGATACTAATCATATAAAATTAATTGATTTTGGTTTTGCCATTGCATGTAATACGAAAAACAAAGAACTCAGCATACAAATAAGAGGTCCACTTACATATACTAGTCAATCATTTTTAGATGTTTATTTAAAAATTTTAACTCGAAATATATACGTCAATCATTATTATTGTTATGAACCAACTTTTGATTTAATATCTGCATTAAATATTATAATGACGATGAATAATGCTGATATAAAACAAAGTATTGATTCAATTGATATATTAGAAGATGAAGAGGAAAGTGTATCACAATCATTACAATTATGGAAAGATACTCAACGTACAAATAAACATTATTCAAATTTATTAAATTTAATAAACAAATTGGATTCAGGAGATTCATTTTATGAATCAGGTGATTTATCAGATTCTGATGTTTCAAAAGATGAATCAATTGAATCAGATGAACCTTCAATTTCTACTGTTTCAAAAGATTCATCAGCAATTTTTGATGTTATAAAGGATGAAATAGAAAAACTTTTCGCTATATGAACAATTATATTCATTCTTTTTTTCTATATCATACGTTCATGTCATTCATTTAAAAGTTCACATAACACTTCTCATTAATAT